TCACTTGGTGAACTGCTACAAGCTCACTTTCAGTGATTTCTGCCGAGTAGCGTGACCTTTAATTCGTTTCATTTCGGGCGACGATGCCCGACGCGAGCCATCCCATGGCGCCTTTGCGGCCTCCGCCCTTACGGCCTTTTGGAAAACTTTCCTTTGACCTGCGCGTGGTCGTCCCGATGCTTCTTGCCACCCCTCTCAGAGCGGCCCGTGCGAAGAAGGGGGCGCAGGGCCTCGTAGTCCTCCTCCGCACGCTCGGCGCGCTCGTCAAGAGCCGCGCTGTCATCCGAATCGCTCTCAGGGCGATCAGCGTCGTGCCGACGGGGGTCTGGCACACCGCGCGAGACTACGCCCGCCGCGGTCCTCCTGCCGTTGCATCGAAAGCAAACGGAACGTCGTCGTCCTGCAAGGCTTCTCGGACGATGGACCTCTCATAGTCCTCCAAGACCTCCGTGTTGCGCCAGGCCTCTGCTGCTGACCAAGGCTGTATGTTTTCGTCTGGGCACCAGGACGCAACATTACGGGTGAGCGCCTGCAGTTTGAAGTACGGGATTGTCACCTGCAGCTCCTGCACCACGTTCTTGAGAAACTCCTGGTTCTTTAGCCGTGGAGTGTTTTCTAAGGCAAAAGCCAGCAAAGCTCCACGGCTTGCGATCTCTTCGATCCACTCCACCGCTCTCACGAAAACGTCCGCTCAGCTGTCCAGTTCGCCAAGCTTGTTCCCACCAGCAGCAAAAGGCTTGCAGGGAGGGCAGCGACCAACAGCTCGCAATCTTCCAAATCTTCCAGAGGCCTATAGACATCATGTCGCCCTGCCTGTGACCGGCACGCACTTTCTGAACCGCAGGCAGCCACTGGCCCATGGCTCCGTAGAAATGAGCAATAGCATTGGAGTTGTCCAAACAGTTTGTCGGCTCGTAGAAGCTTTCACAACCTGAGCTCTGCAACCGTTGTCTGAAGGCCCCAATGCCTACGCATGGCTCGGCAACGGCAACTGGTCGTGCTAGGTACCGCCACGCTCGACCAGCTCGCCACAGCATCCTCTCCAGGGCTTCATCCATTCTGCTGTGGCCGAAGTGAGATGAGGCTGCAAGTGGCTGCAGGAAGCAACACGGCACTTCAGTTTGCGAATGCTTTAGCAATGCAGCTGTGCAGTTCTATGCGTGGAGCACAGGCTGTCACGAAGGAAGACTCACAATACTAGCAACTGCAGGACACTGTGCACACCGAATCCAGAGCATGTGTCCAATTTTGGAAACCACAGCTTCCAGTCGATTGCGCTACCTTTCTTGGGTTTCCTAACACTTCAAGGGGTCCATGACATGCATCCTGTAGTACTGGAAACCGATCCTGCCATGCCTTTGGATTGCGAGTTCGAAGGGGAGAGAGAGAGAGTCGGGCACTTCAACCGCCGGTGCAACCCAAGTCTGCTGAGCGGAGGCAGGCTGCAGTGCCGGCCATGTTGCTGGTGGCGGCAACGGCGGCGGCTGCGCCGGCAAGGAACCCACCGTCTCAGACTGCTTCACGGCAACAGCGAGGTCATTCGCTGCGTCGGACACTGGACCCAATTCACGCCTGAGTATGAAAGCTTGAAGGGTGAGTGCCGCAATTATTCGCTTTTTTTGATAACTCACGCATGTGGTCACGGGCAACATCAGTGCCTGGACTGGGGTGGCGGCGGCGCGCCCGTGCTGCTCTCCTTGCAGCGCGGATCTTTCCTCCTTTTTTTCAGGAGGGAGTGTGCGGTCTTGTGACGCAGGAGCCGAAGTGCAGCCTGGCCGCGTCGCTGTTTGCGCACGGGGCGGAGGTTTCCTCGCAGGCACTGGCGAAGGGTCGCGCTGCCTTGGAAGGCACCCAGGAGTGCTTCAGCGGCTTAGCTGAAGAGTCGCAGCGGCATAGGCGGCTCTGCCACAGGAGCGCCCGGCGCTGCAAGCCGGCGCCGCTCCCGCCGACCCACGCTCTGGCACCAGCCCTGGCGGCTGTGCCAGCAGCTCCGGCCTGCAAGAGGAATAAGACCCCCAAGCCGACGCCAAAAGCGCGTTCGCGCGACCGGGCTTATTCGTTCGATGTCTCAGGCGTTTTGGAAAGGCGCTTGCGCGGGAGCCGCGTGCTGCTTAATCGCAGACGCGAGCCAGTGCCACAAGACGAAGCTGCAGTGGCAGGCTTCGAAACTGCAGGCGCCGCGATCAGACTCGCGACGGGTATAACTCCGTGCGGGAGGAGACGGGCGTGGCGCCGTCGTCGGTGCGGGGCTCAAGGGCTTGCGCCCCATGCCAAGTGCCTCCTGCTGGTGAGTGACGTCACAGCAGAGTTGGTCATCGGAAGTCTCAACTAGTCGACGAGCTCCAAGGCCAACGCCGAATGCGGGGTGCGTTTAGTACTCGCAGCCAATGCATCCGTCACCAGAAATCTGCCGCAGGTTCCGACAGGAGCGGCCAAAGCAAAAGCCGTGAGGAAACCTGCTCGCACATTATAATGCCGAGCACAAGGCCTGAAAAGACGCTGCAATGGCTGCGCAGGCGTCCTGCCGCAGACCTTGGCTCCAGGCTCTACAAGCCGGGCTTTAGTGAAGCCGCCGCAGAAGTGCCCGCAGGGCCTGCGCACCTGTGCCGCGGGCACTCACACTGTTGCTGACGGCGCAGGGTCAGCTGGAGGCGCACTGCTCGACGCAGCCGCGGCCAGCCTGTCAGCGGCCTCGAACACCCGGTCAAATTCACGGGTGTAATCCGTGCGTGGTGGCCCTGCTGGCCATCGTGCCTACTAACCGCATCCGCTTGATGTGCCAGCTGGCACTTTTGTGAGCTGCGCCACAGCGCAGCCCCCCTGAGCAGCTGGCTAGCGGACCCTGATCGGTTGCAGCCTTGCGCTTGAAGAGCGCAGCCTGCGGCCCTTGATCGGGCGCGGCTTCGCTGTGTAGTTAGGTCTAGTCAAGTCTGTAGCAGCGCTAGGCCTGTACATAGCGTGAGCCGTAATGTACCTGTAGAGTAGTTTGTGAGCTGGTTAACGGACCAAAGGACAGTCCCTCACCACCAGGCACGCGTTTCGTCCGTGCTAGGCGCCGCTAGGCGTTTGCCGGGGCTGCGCCCCACCGCCTGCCTTTCACCCTGCCCTCCTGGGATACCTGGAATCCTCGGCTGAGGGGCGAGTGTGAGTGCACATACATGTCAGTGCGTCATGTTCACAGGTCTCTGCCAGCTGTAGTTCAGACTTGCATGTGTATTAATTTGAATGTTTGTCCAAAACAATACGTTTTGGCTCAGGAACTTGAGTATCTAAGTGCCAAGTGCGCACGGCTGATTAGCGGTAGCGAGTAGGTGTAGCTTCTGCCGAAGTTGCAACTCGCGGTCGGTCTGCGACGCGGTGTCTTAGGGACTTAGCGAGCGTACGCGGTGTGAGCCCGCGAGGCAAGAAGACAGCTGCCGCTCCGTGTCTGCTCTGTTGCAGGATCGGTTTGCGGCGCTTCACATACTACTTCTACTGCTACTACTACTGCTGCTGCTGCTGCTGCTACTACTACTACTACTACTACTACTACTACTTCTACTGCTACTACTACTGCTGAAGCTGCTGCTACTACTACTATTACTACTACTACTACTACTACTACTACTACTACTACTACTACACCTACTACTGCTACGACTGGGCTTGCGCGCCTCCGGGCGCCTGGTAGTTCTAAGTGGTTAGAGAGCGAAATCTACAGAGTTTCTGGAATATGCAGTTAAGCCAACTTCCAACAAACTATTTGGGATTGCTACTAAGTACACTGGGGGATAATACTGATAGCGATGAAGAAGAAGATGATTGTGAAGATGCTGAGGATGACGATGATGTGCATGTTATTGAGGCTTGTGAAGATGATGATGAAGCAGATAATCATTTTGATGATGATGATGATGATGATGATGATGATGCTGAGGTTGACGATTATGTTGAGGATACGGAGGATCATCATCGCACGTGTCCGCATGTCGAAATGTTACAGACAGTCCAGCTGAGCTCAGACGGAGCCAAACCACAAAGAACAGTACTTTCGTGTCTTTCCGTATGCGTTTCTGTAAAGCATACGACCACGAGTGTGTGCGGTGTGGACTTGAGTTGAATAGCTCGTGGCGTAGGCAGCACCTCATTGCTTGTACGGAGCTGCCGTGCTCTACGGGGTATCAGTTCGCTGTGTTGGGAGTCCACTGCCCGCATGAGCCATTTATCGACAACCGCAGGGTCAGATGCCGGCGGTGTCGTCTCCGCCAGTCAGTGCATAGTTTTGCCTACTGTAACCGCTTTTCGAAGGTCTGTACAGGTTGAGGTCGCGGGATGGCTTAGCCAGGTGTTTCATGTCAAAAAAAAGCATACGACCACGTCAGCAGAGGCATTCTGTCTAACGTACAAGTCTGACGGCCCGCAAGCTTCCAACGCAAAATCATAGTCCAACACACAGGCGCCCGTGCCCGGCATTGCCCGCCCTTCAAAGAGATCATGAAGTTACAAACGTATTGTTGAAGGTCCGGGAGTGTGTGCACGGCTTTGCAATTTTTGCGGGCCTTAACCATATGCTATTGCAGCTACTGCTGCTGCTCCTGTTACCGCTGCTGCTGCTATTAGTGCTACTGCTGCTCCTACTGCTCCTACTGCTCCTACTGCTCCTACTGCTCCTACTGCTGCTACTGACTGTAGCATGCATACTTGTTTAGGCGGCAGTTCTTTAGGCTCCGGATGGCCAGGTCAGGTCTCTCTTTTAGGGGGATCGCTGGCTTCCTTAGGGCTTCGCTGGTTGGAAGACTTAAGTCAAGGAACTTCAGGACTTGACTTCTGCCGCCTTGCCCCCTCCTCGAGACCGCTTCGGAGACCCTGCACTGGGAAAGTGTTCTCTTGGGAATTGGTATTGGATTGCTTCTGGGGCCTATCATTGATTTGCTGTACCTCTTCAGAGTTTGGTGGGTTTCGTTCGTGCGTGACCAGCTCCGGGTGTTGAGCTTGCGGCCTCCCCTTTATAGGGTCCTTTGATGGACGAGGCCCTTTCTTTGCTCCGACAGCTGTCACTGAATCTGCAAGCACTGACCTTGGAGGTGCAAAGGCAAGGCCAGGTGTTGAACAGGTTGCAGGGATTGGTGGAAGATCTGCGGGTGCAATCTGAGTTTGAGTTTGTGCCTGGCACTCCTCAGCAGCCCCAGCTTGCCACTCCTCCTCCACTCCCTTCCCGGCGTGTCGAGCAATCTGCGTCTGCACAGTACCCTGTCGGGGCCTCGCCTGCTCCTAGTGCACCAGTGGCCTCGCCTGCTGCTGGTTCTTCTCCTGGACCGAGAGGTCAGCTATCGGAGGAGGCGCGCCGCGACCTCGCCCGCTCCATTTTGGCTTTCTTCCGGCGGTGCTTAGACGGAGAATCGCGAGGGCCTTCGGGTCGGGATCAGAACCCGCTCCCTTCGCGTTGCTACGTGGTTGTCACTGACTACGACGGCCGCACCTTTGATCCTCCTCTGCTCTTTGATCAGTTCGGGCCCGTGAAGGATCTTTGCAAGCGAGGGGCCAGTGCCGGTTCTTCGATTTTCTGCGGTTTCCGGAAGCGAAGCTAGCTTGCGAGGCAGCAGGCCTTTCCTTGCCCGTCCGCGCCAGCAATGTCGGCCAGCAGTGAAGGTTCCGCTGAAGCCCCTAGACCGGCTGGGCTCTCCTACATGACAGTGGGGCGGCGGACCAACTTCGAGTATGAAGTGGGCAGCTTGGCTGTGGGCTCTGCGCGGAGGCGTGTGGCTGTGATTCTGGTCACTGAGTTTGAAGGCCGAGTCGTGGTGGCCTTCCCCCAGAAGGTCTGGAATAAGACCGTCGCGAAGAGGGTGCTCCCTGCAGGCCCTTTCACGAAGGCTCTTCAAGTTGAGGTGGCTGTCTGCGCATCAGTCGAAGCCCGGGATCAGCAAAGAGCTGGGAACATGAAGATCTGGGTGGGCCTGCTTTCCAAGGCCGTGGCCGATCAGGTTGTTTTCGATGCTGAGGGTGACCCCGACATCGTTTTTTGCACCCCTCAGGGGAGAGCTGCCTGCCTTTTGCTGAGGCACTCGCGCGTGTCGCAAATGAGCACTTTGCTTTTTGGAGCCCCGCAGAAGGAGGTGACGAGAGGTTAGCTGCCTTGGAGAAGTCAATGAAAGAGCTCACCTCCCTGGTGCAGAGCTTGGTGCCTCAGGCTCCGTCGCGGGCTGCGCCCGGCCGGCCTAAGCCAAAGCCAGCCGCGGCTCCACGAAAGGCTGTTGACGATGCACCGGGCTCGGTACCCGGAACTCCTCTTCCTCGCGGGACCGCTCGGGGCCTAGCTGGCTTTGATCCTGCAGTGGTTTCGGCTGCTAAGCAGAGCGGGCTTGAAGAGGGCGATTTGCGGGAGATTAGCCTGCTGCTGGGCGGTGCGCGAGGTACGCTGAGAGACTTCCCACCTGGGGCGGGCGCAGCCGTTACTCCCCAGGGCAGCGCAGCCAGCCTTGCTGGCGAGGTCGAAGCTGAAGCTCAGGAGCTCGCCGAGGACGCGGGCTCCCCTGTTGCTACGGCGTTGGTCACCCTGACCCAGATCGTCAAAGAACTCTCTGCTGTATCTCGCCGGGCTGTCGTCTTTCGAGTTGCTTCAGCCGGGCCTTTGCAATCCTCCTGGCCTTTCTTCTTTCTCCGAGGAGCGTTTACCGTCAGCTCTAGCCTAGCCGAGCAAGCGCTACACGGCAGAGCCTTCTTGGTAGATTCTGAGGTTGCTTCAGCTTGGCCTTGGCAATCCTTCTGGCCTTTCTTCTCGCCCCGAGGGTATCCTGTGCATCAGTCCGTAAGTCGACTTCCGTGCGCTCCAGGTCCCTTAGGTGTGCAGCTTGCAGGTGGACTTCGGACATCTTTGTCGGTGTGCCGCCTTGCCTCGTGCTGTGGCGCCAGCGCTCGTGGTGACTGTTGGTGCAAGCTGCCAAGTCTCAGCCTTTCCGGTGCCGAAGCTTACAAGGCCTTTTCCTCCTACTGCTTCAGGGCTGTGGTTTGTCGCCCGGCTTCACAGCAGACTTTCCTTCAAGGCCGAAGCCCGTGTATTGGTTTGCTTGGCGCGGGGCGGAGCGCGTTCCGTCTCTGGGCCTTGGGGCCCCCTTTCTCAACAGGCGTCTTCTTCGCCTCTTTGGACCCAGCGCTTTTGCTGGCTGGTTTCTCCCGGTTTTCGGTTTGGTGCCCGATGCCTCCGAAGCCTGCTCCTCTCATGCCCGGCGCCGCTGCAAGCACAGTTGCCGCCTCCGAGGTGTGGACTTTACTGCGAGCTCGCTTGGACTCGGACCCCGAGCTTTCTCTTTTCCTCTCTGGCAAGACTCTTAGCAACCGCCGTGTGGAGTTTCCTTTTTCGTTCTGCGACAGTTGGTCCTCCTTCAGCAGTCAGCAGCCTCCTTCGGCTGCATCAGACCTTGAAGCAGGAGCTTTGATTTCACTGGCGTTGGAGCATTTAGCATCCAAGCCTCTGCGCAGGCTTGCCCGTGGGCCTCTCGCCTCCCCTTTCTCTGCACGGGGACAGAAGGCCGCAGCACCAGCTATCTCGCGAGGCTGGGCCAGGCTCATGCAGTGCGTCCGCCGATGGAATTGCTACGGTGATGTTAGTGCAGAGAAGATGGGCCGAGCTGCCGGCAAGTTTGAGAAAGTGGGCGAGCAATTGGGGGAGCTCGAAGCCGCGGCGCTGCGGCAAGGGCCCGACATCTCTGTGGAGCGTAAGCTGCCGAGCCTAGCCATGGCAAAAGACGTGGAGGTTTCGAGGCTCTCCTTCCCTCCACCTCCTTCATTCGACCCATCATGCTACTTCGATCACCAGCTGCGTCGCCTCTACCTACAGCCCGAAGCCTTTGCCCTCAACCCGGACGAGGTCCCGGGCGACCCACCTAGAGTGAAGGTTCGCACAAAGGATAAGCAAGCGAGGCTTGACCTTCTGGCTGCACTAGACGCACATGGCATGCTGGCGATGTTTCCGGGCGAAGTTCTTAATGAGCGGACTGCGGCCGGCGTGTTCGCTATACCCAAAAATCTCGAAAGGGACCGTCTTATATTAGACGGTCGCCCGCAAAATCGCCTGATGCCCCTCGACAGCCGTTGGTTGTGTACGCTGCGGTCCCACACTTGCTTGCTTGACATCGTCTTGGCGCCAGACGAACTTTTGCTTGCCAGCGGGGAGGACATCCGCGATTACTACTATAATTTCGAGATTTCGCCTTCTAGAGCCCGGCAATATGTTCTGATGGGGTCGTACGAACCTCGAGAAGTATGCCACTTCTCTTCTTTCTCCCCGGACTTGTGGCGTTCTCCCAGCATAGCGGTGGGGTTAAAAACCCTTGCGATGGGAGACGTGAACGCGGTGAGCTTTGGGCAGGCTGCCCATGTCGGCTTGGTTCTTGCTTCGGGAGCGGTGCCTATGCAGAGCTTGCTGACTTACCGAGGCCGAGTTCCTCGAGACCGGGTCTCTTTGGGAATCGTCATAGATGATCTCCTGGTCCTTGAGAAGGCTCTCCTTGGGCAGGATGTTTCCGAACGTGGACTGTCGTCGGACAGGTGCGAGCCGCGTATGAGGAGGCCTGCCTCCCGCGGCATGCTGGCAAGAGTTTCCTGACGGAGACCCATGCCGAGGTTTGGGGTTCGCAGCTTGATGGAGAGGAGGGCTGGGTTCGCCCAAACTGGAATCGCCTGGTGCCCCTCGTTCATATCACTGTGGCCGCGATGCGCCTTCCTCTGGTGTCGGTCTCTCTTCTGGAGAGCTTGTCGGGGTGCTGGGTTTCCGCCCTGTCATACCGACGGAGGCTACTGTGTCTACTTTCTGAGGTGTGCTCGAGCGTGCGGGGCCTGGAGCGCACGAGCTTGCTGAGACCGAGTGTGGCTTTACGCGCAGAGCTGTTTTGCCTAGTTGCTTTGGCTCCCCTGGTGCAACCTGACCTTCGGGCGCAGCCTTCCACTACTTTGGTCGCCACCGACGCTTCCGACACTCTGGGCGCAGGACGCAGGAGCCTGCACGACTCTCACGGAGGCCTTAGCAGGCGAACTGCTGCGCCACACACTGACGAAAGGGCCGTGGAATCGCCTGCTTCGCCCCTGGAAGCTCTTCTTTACTCCAAAGGCCTCCTCTCTCCTGAGGACTGCACCCCCGACCAGGAAACCTACCGCACCAGTGCACTTTGGACTTCGTTAAATCGAGCTCTGCCTTTTCGACTTTTGGGCGTCTTTGAGCGACCGATGTCCGAGCACATCAATGTCAAGGAGTTAGAGAGCTACCTGCTTGTCGAGGAGCGTCTCAGCTCTTCGGTCTGGGAAAACCAGAGGCCGATTAGTTGTCTGGACAGCCAGGTGTGTCTGGGCTGCCTTATCAAGGGCAGGTCCTCTTCGGTCTCGTTGAATTTGCGGTTGCAGAGCTCCGTGCCCGGGCTCCTCTTGTTCGGGGCTCAGCCTTACTACGCCTTCGTTGCCTCAGAAGACAACTGCGCGGACGACCCCACGAGGCTTTGCACAGTGCGTCCTCCGAGTCTGGATAAGCCTCTATGGCTCCGTGAGGCCGAAGCAGGGCGGTTCGAGGCTCTCGACGGATTCTTAACGGCTCACGGTCTAGACCCCCTCACTTTGCAAGGGCTGGCGGATCTTTCAGAATCTTTCGCCGCTCGGAGCTCTCCAGATAGGGAGTGGGACCGCAGTGTCGCAGCTGCCGTCTCGCGGGAAGAGACCTCTAGAGCCTCTGCCCTCCAAGGTTCCCGTGTTTTCCCGCCTGCTGAGCCCTGCTCCCTCCTGCTATCTGCCACAGCTCGGTTCGAGACGAGCCCAGTGACGACTCTGTTTGCAAGAGTAACAGCTTGTCAGTTTCTTTGGCCTGACGCCAAGCGGCATCGGCAAGGAGAGTGGCCCGCCGGAAAGGGCTATCTTTGCCTTTATTCGGGTGAGCGAGGCACAGCTAAGGCCTTGTGCAGCAGATATGGGGCTTGGGCTCTCACATTCGATTGGAAGCATGGACCGGGGCAGGATCTCCCCGACCTCGCGCTGCAAGAGCTGCTCCTGCGTGCGGTAGCCTCGGGAGCCTTCTTCGGAGTTGGTCTCAGTGCCGCAGCCACCCCAGCTCTTCGCTCACAAGAGTTCCCAGAAGGCAAGCCTGGGCTCTCGGCAAACGCTCAAAGCAAGGTCCAGGCAGGCAACGCCATAGGTGCCTTCGTAGCCCGGATGCTGAACGTCGTCGTTCGTTTCAGGGTTCCTTTCTGGGTCGGGGGTCCCGAGGGAAGCTGGCTTTGGAAGTTCCCCTCCCTGCGCCCTTTTGTAGAGAACCCCATGCAGCCATGGCTTTTGGACCTTCGACTGCTGCGTTTTTGGCTTGCCGTGGCGCAAGCGCACCAGAGTCCTTACGAACACGAGGCTGGCTGGACAAGAGGACCTCTGCAGAGGTTGTCGAGAGCACGTGGTGCTACGGGGCAGATCGCGGAAGTCGGGGAAAAACTGGATTCATCTCGCAGAGTCTTTCCCAAAGCGACCCTGCAACCTCTTGGCAGAAGCTGTCTGGCTCTGCGCTTCTGAGTCTGGTAGCGGCGTCAGCAGTGCGGTCTTGGACACCGCGGACCGCATCGGGGAGGCGTTGAATCCTGGGCCTCCTTCGCGAAGGAAACCTAGAGAAGGCTCTTTGTTTGACGTCGAGCTGGTCGAGCCAGCCACAGCAAAACTTAGAGTAACGATCTGGGATGTTTTCAAGGGCTGGGTTGGCGAAAAGCTGAGCCAATCTACCTTGGTTAAGCTTTTCCGCTGCCCTCCTCTTCTGGCCTTGGTGCTCAGAGACTACGGCGACGAGCTTTACAAGACAGGATTTCCCTTGAATCACTACCGTCAGCTCCTAGCTCATGCGCAAAAAGTGTTTCCACTGGTGCGACCTCATCTCGGTGTCGCCTGGGATATGGTGAGCCGGTGGGAGGAGCTTCAACCCGTTTGTCACCGAACTCCGATGCCCGAGATCTTGCTGAAAGCTTTGATCGGGCTCGCAGTCTGCTTGGGATGGTTCCGCTGGGCCGCCGCCACGGCTACCATTTTTTATGGGATAGCAAGGCCGGGAGAAGTTCTTAAAGCTCGCCGCCGCGACTTACTGACTCCTGCTGACCTCTTGGACCCGCACCACAAGTGGGTCTACTTGAAGATAGGGAAGCCCAAAAGTCGAAAGAGAGCAGCCAAGGTCCAGCATGTGAAACTGGACGATCCTCAAATTGTTGCCTTTGTCAGCCTGATCTGGGAAGAGCTGGATCCGAACGAGCTCCTCTACCCGGGGAGCGCTGGCGTCTACAGGCGAAGATGGGACAGGCTCCTGTCTCTTCTGGGGATCCCAGGCTACCTGGGGCTGACACCAGGATCTTTACGAGGCGGAGGCGCAGTGACTGCTTTCAACAAAGGCCTGGGTATCAGTGACCTGCTTTGGAGGATGAGGCTGCGATCGGCTACGACCTTAGAGTACTACCTCCAGGAAACGGCGGCAGTTTCGGTTTTACCGAGGCTGCCAAAAAAGGTTAGAAAGCGGATTGTCGCAGCAAGCTGTTTTGCAGAACAGCTAAAAGGGCCTTGAGAGGCCTGGCCATTTCGACAGCGCGCGGAGCGGCCTATACGGGCGTTGGAGGAGTTGCGCGCGATGGCAATGC